CCCCAAAACCCCAAAACCCCAAAACCCCGTGGATATTTATATAGTTTTTTGTCAGATAATCTAAAATGAGAAATAAATAGTAACAGTTTGAATGTTGGTGATTAATAGATAAATTATTGAATAATTAAAGAACTTTAATGAACGAAGAATACTTCGAAGCGGAAAATAAAGGTTTCAATTTTATTAATCAATTTTACTAAATGGAAGACAACCTTAATGAAGGCAAAACAGATAACTTAGCAATGAACACTTTTGAATGTGATTGCGGCAAGAAATTATACGGCTCTGATGATATTAAATTTCATTAAAACATTTGTAAAAAAATGTAGGAGAAGTATTCTGATATATTCTGTATGTTCAATAACTTCATACAAAACTACAAATCTAAACAAGAGATTAAAAATATCAAGTCTATATTGAATGTCTTCCAAGATCAGCTAGAAGATACATTTTTAAAAGAGGAAAATAAGTAAAATGAAGAGGATGAAAAAGAACGTTTTAATCCAAGACAACATAAATCTCTCATTATAAATATTAGTAATGGATAAAGAAATGAAGTTCAATTGAATATTGACGACTTTTAATGCAACTTAGAGGATGATATAAATTCTTAAGAGCCAACACATTTAAAGAATAAACTATATCCTATTCCCTTATTTATCAAAGAATTATCATGTGATTCTATTGAGAGTCCATCTTCATGTGATTCACCTAAGATATCAACCCCAAAATTTCAGGGGCTAAACTTATACAAATTTGATTCCAAAAAGTTTTAATCTGAAAATGGAAAAATGGATGAAATATTATTTACAAATTGTTCTTACTGCAAGTTAAAGTTTACAGCAAAAGAAAAAGATAATCACAAATGGGTTGCACTCCAGTCGACTAAATGCAATCATTTGATACATAGAGAATGCTTAAAGAATATATCTAGATCGTAATTTACCATTTAACATAATAAATGTATATTAGGAAGGCAAGACTTGAAAAGAAAGAAATATGTTGCCCTATTTGTAAAATTAAGATTGAACAAGCTGAAATAGATTAAATACTTAATCCTGAAACAGAATTGTAGTTGATTGAATTCGATAAGATAAAAAAGAAGGAGGAGGAATAAAAATAACTAGAAGAATTACTATAAGGATTAGATAATGTGGCCAAGTGTAAATGTGGAAACATGATGCTTGTAGAATAAGGTGATATCGATCTACTTTAAAAAGATATCTTTGGACAACCTATATCATAGTAAGGATAACTATAGTTTTTTATGTGTTTATAGCGAATCTGCAATCCATATGAGTAAATTCAGGGTTAGATGCAGAGAATGTGAAACTATCTTATGCTTTAGTTGTAATCAAGAGCCTTATCACTTAGGTAAAACATGCGAGGAGTTCGAGAAATTTAAGTCCTCAAGTAAATGCAGATTCTGTCTAGAGTAATTGACTTGCCCATCTGTATCTCATATGCCAGCATTTTAAGAGGTATGTAGAAAAGTGTAATGCAAAGAAATGATGGAAAAATCTTGTGATAAAATTAATGAAGAATGCAAGCATCCTTGTTGTGGATTCAAAGATGAGGTGATTTGCCTTCCTTGTTTAAAGGAAGATTGCGTGAAGAAAGATCCCAGTAAAACTCTAGAATGCAATGGAAATGATTACTGCACAATATGCTACGTAGAATAACTAGACACAAGGCATTGCATCTAACTAGAGTGCAAGCATATCTTTCATTTGGATTGTATGATCTAAAGAGTAAAACTGAAATGGAATGGCAGTATCAATGGCATAAATTTCAATTATCTTGAGTGCCCATCATGCAAATAAGAAATGATTAAATCTGATAATTAAGAATTGCATGAGTTGATTACCAAGAGTTAGGAGTATAGAGAAAAAGTGAAATAGAAAGTCCTTTAAAGAGCTCAAATAGATAAATTAGAATAAGATCCATTAATTACAGAACCATAGAGTATCTTCTATAATAATATTTAAGCACTAGCAATCTCAAGATATTAGTTCTTCGAATGCTTCTAGTGTAAAGATCCCTTCTTTGGTGGAGTAAGGGACTGTGCCATATAGGCGAATTAACTTTAAGCACCAAATCCTGAGGAGATATTGTGTAATTTTTGTACTGCTGTAAAACTTGGCTCTGGGAAAAAAATTTGCGAAACTCACGGTGTGGAATTTATAGAGTTTAAATGTAAATATTGCTGTGATATGTCCTAATGGTTCTGCTTTGGAACCACTCATTTTTGTCATAAATGCCATGATATGGCTGGAAGTAACGTTACTAAAGATTGCCCAGGCGACGAAAAATGCCCTTTAAAAGGTAAGCATCCACCTAATGGTCAAGAGCATGCTCTAGGATGTGCTGTTTGTCGCTAGCTGCTATTAGATTCTGAAAAAGAAGAGCCGAGGGTGAATGAAGAGGTTTATGAAATAGTAGAAAGAAATGAAATACCAAATGATGATGAATTACTCCATGCGGTTGTTTTGAATGAGATTAAAAAAGAGGAAGATATTTTTGAAAATATATTTTATAATAGCGATTGAATATATGATCTATCAGTAGTTTTATATAATTTAATATTATTGAGAGTTATGACCTTAATGATTTTTAATTATTACTTACTAATTTTTTTTAAGTTTAAAAATTAATGTTCCAAATGGGGTTTTGGGGTTTTGGGGTTTTGGGG